GCCGAGGGTCGGTTCATCATGGACCAAAAATGGCCCATGTGGCTCGACGGGTTGGGCTCTAGCAGACACCCAAAATGAGGGCTTGGCTAGAGCATCGAGCTGGGCCGACTTGGACTTTTTTTAGGCCGAGCCACGGGTGATCCTAGCTGGAGAGCCAAATTGATACTTTTAGCTTTACTCGATTATTATGGACTATCTTGACATTAACGAGATAATAATTAAAAAAAAAAAAAACAGAAAGTTACATGCTTGTACAATGTATGATCATGTCATGTCTCGGATTGTTTATTAATATGTTGCTATTATAACAATTGTCGAGAAAAATGGACGTCATTTGAACGAACCGCTCTCCAATATTCTTCAGTTTCAACTTAAGTCGCATAACTTTAACAAAAATCGCACTTCCAGTACTGCAGCGTGCAAGCTCTGTTCGCAATCGATACTTTCCGTTGTCCAGTGAGTCGCAAGTCGCAGCGCATACAACATTTTCACTCACTAAAATTCAGCTGGAAAAGCACGATGCAGGCCGTTTCCAGAAGAATAGAGAACCATTTCTCCCATTTACCCTCTTTCTGATCGGTGTACGGGTTTTCTCTGCATTTCTAGGGATATAGATTTATCGCCTTTTTTTTGCCAATTCAGATTCAATTAAAAGATGAATATTTGTTAGCGATGATGTGGTTTCAGATTATGGAACCGAGAATCTGAGGTACCAGTCTACGCTTACCACCAAAGGGGCGGGACATCTAGTTCGTAAGGGCACTGGTGGAAGATCGTCTGTTAGGTAATTTTTAGTTTAGAAGCCTTAAAGTTTTTGTTTTATCGGTTGTTAAATTAATTTCAGTTTAATGTTACTGGATTGTTATTTTTTTTATTATTTTATTATTTTATTATTTTTTTTGGCTTTTGGATCATTAGGTTGAGTATGTGCAGCTGCTATGTTTATTTTACTGGAACTCTAGTTAGACTTGTTTAATTTCTGTGATAAGATTATTACTATGCATTTTTAAATTCCTTAATCTAAACATTTTTTGGAATTTCAGTTTATAAGAATACTGTTTTTGCCTGTGTTCTCATCTTATGCTATTAACTATTTAAATAAATATAATCCCAGATAACATTTGATTCAAATGCTTTTAGGTGAAATTGGAATTTGCTTCTCTGGCAGTGGAATTGTTGCGACAGTGTTTGGGGCTACCGGATTTCTTGGGCGTTATCTTGTGCAGCAGCTTGGTACATTACTTTTAACCCCATTCAATGCTTTTGTGATTAAATACATTGTGCAAAAGGACTATTTTTATTATAGAATTGAATGATCCATATATAGTATCTTGTTCTGCCTGCAGCTAAAATGGGTCCTCAAGTATTAGTTCCTTTCCGAGGATCTGAGGATTCTCACTGGCACCTCAAATTAGTGGGTGATTTGGTCAGGTAAATTCTTATGTAGACTTTATGCTTTTAATTGAAGTTTTGATTTTGCTCAATTTGGAAGGCATGTGATTTGGTATAAGCTATACAATTAACCACATGCAGATTGTTCCAATGAAATACGACCCTAGAGATGAAAGTTCTATCAAGGCAGTGATGGCAAAGGCTAATGTTGTTATTAATCTTATTGGTACATGTTCATCATTACCTTTTGGTTATTAATCTTATAGCTTTGAGGAAGTCAATCATCACATGGCTGAACAGCTTGCAATAGTATGTTCCTGTACTTATCCTATAAAAAAGTTTGTAATGAGTTTCAACTTTCCTGACATTATATTTTACTGGTGTGTCCACTAATGTAATGTCGATTATTTTAAACAATGTGAAAAGAAAGAAACAGAATGGGATCCTGATAAGGTAAAGAAATTTATGACTAAGATCATTGACCTGAGTCCATGTTCTTAGTGTCTAGCGATTCTTTTCTTTCTTATTTACTTGGTCATGAGTCATATTTTCTTGAACGATATTGCACATTCCTATCACTCTCAGGTATGTTAGTGCACATGTGCAGACACTTATACGAGCTCTTGTGCATCGAAATTTAAATTGGCATGGAAAACTTCTTGACTTGTTGTGGTCAATGCTGTTCACATCTCTTTGGAGCAGTTCATTAATAATTATTCATTTATAGGACTATAAACCTGTAGAGAATGGAGTCCAGTTAGGAACCTTCTTTCACTGGGGTGTCCATGCTTATGATTCACATGTACCTTTTGATGTTACAGAAATTTTTTTTTGATGAATTTGAGGGAAGGGGAAGTGACATTTATGCCCTAGTTGGCTGTTCGACTGGGGAGAGAATCTATATCTGAAAGGCATTTATGATGTTTTATTGTTATTATATGACATCGGCTATCCAATAAGAAATGGATGCTTATGATAAGCAATCTGTTTCATCCACTTTTTTAAAATTATCTATACCCAGTTTCTCTTTCTTTTTCTCACAGTGATGAGTATGAGATTACATAGCTATGAACTTGTGCAGATTGATAAATAACACAGTGGCATCAAGAGATTTATTCAAGTTTCTTTCTTGGGGGCTTCTCCATCATCTTCATCCAGATATCTCAAGTCTAAAGCAGCGGCTGAAGAAGCTGTTTTACAAGAGTTGCCTGAGGTCAATTATCACACCCACTTTCCTTGTCATTGAGCAACTATTGTTGTTGCTTATAAATCTTTATGTTGAATTCTATGTTTGTGCCTGATAGCAATCTAGGTTTCTGTTTCTTGTTTTTTTTTTTTTTGGTTTGACTTGGATTAGATTAAATACTAAGCTGTGGGGACAATGGAATTTAACACAATCTCCAGTCAACTCTTATGCATGGTTTAAAAACACGATTTGAGGCTTAAGCTTTGAATCCAATCTCATGTGAGGTTATCATAAAACGCCTAAAAACCCGCTCTTTTAAAGCTATTTGTCAGGCTTATGCCTCACAAATGGCTTTTAAAAGTGCAAAATGGATTCCAAGTGAACAAAGAAAAATCTGCTCTCTGTTGGATGCCTTTTCAAGTTTTGCACAACAATTCTTCTAATTTATTTCTCATTTCTTTCCTCAATTTTCCATAATTAAACTATTTTTTATGAACTTTAAGGTGATACAGTTCTTTTTTGTTGTACAATTAACAATCTTTGTTTACTGTTTATTATTCATGTTAATGTGGTTGACCAAAACCTTATCAAGTGTTACTGTTTGTATAACTTTTTGGTAATTTATATGGTTATAGATTTGATGCAGTTTATATTTTTTTGGTAGTCCATCCAGCTCGTGTGAAATATCTTATGATTGATTGATTAATCTTTCTATCATCTTATATCAATCTCTAGGCCACAGTTATGAAACCAGCCGTGATGTTTGCCAGAGAGGATTGAATTTTAAATCCATGGGCACATGTTGCGAGAAATTACAGCTTTCTCCCTCTTATAGGAGATGGATCTACCAAGTAGGACTCCATGCAATGTGGTACACTATTTTATCTCTGTTGAGTGTGTTTATGATGATTATCTCTTGCAGGATTCAGCCTGTATATGTTGTTGATGTTGCTTCTGCAATTGTCACTGCCTTAAAGGATGATGTTACCAGCATGGGAAAAGTTTATGAACTTGGTGGACCAGATATTTTCACTGTCCATGAGTTGGTGAATCTCTCTCTAATCCCCGCCAACCATGACATTCTGATTGTTTTCCTTTAAAATTGCCGTCATTAGTTGAATTTGAATTGTGGTGTAGGCAGACCTTAGTATGACGTGATCCGCAAATGGCCTTGGTATGTGAAGATTCCCTTTCCCATTGCTAAGGTAAGTTCATTTACAAGTGCATCCCTATGCAGTATATCTTCATAAGGTTTTAGCTAAGCTCTTTATCTGGAACTGCGTATAAGTATTATTTTCGTATTTGGCTCGTGTTTTTGGCATCTTGTTTGCATTTTTTTTTATGTGACTCAAGTTTTTTTGTGATATACCAGCCTTAGATTGACGGTGGACAAGATATAAAGCTTCTTAATTGACAATCTTGTTAATTTATATAAGAAGACATGGACTGTAACAAGTGTCCTAGAGAAATGGTTGTTGTTGAATACTTGGGAATAATGGAGAAGATTTGAGAGATTATCATTTACCATAGATGTTGGTCTAATTATAATTAACAATATATTGTTTCCTTGTATAACACATAAGTTAGGTTATATAAACGATGTACACTATGGAATAAATATATATCAGTTCTAGGGTGTGTTTATTCTTCCCTATTGTGGCCCTCTTTCATTCTGCCAGCCACAGCTTTATGGTATCAGAGCAGTGGGCTGTTCGAGCTGGTGGAATGGATAAAATGGCCATGACTGGAGCACGCAGAGATGAAGATTTAGGAATCTCTGAAACCATCTCTACAAGTGCACCTATTACACCCAATCCTTTCCCAGTAAACATATCTGAAAGTACCTCCCTTCAAATCACAACCATTTGGCTAAATGGTAAGAATTTCCTCCAATGGTCTCGTTCAGCTCTTATGGTTATTCGAGGCCGTGGCCGCCTTGGATATGTTACTGGTACAACCATTAAACCAGACGAGAGTGACCCAACCTATGCAACATGGGACGCTCAAAACTCCATGGTAATGGCATGGATCGTTAACTCAATGGAAGAAGACATTAGAGAGTCCTATCTCTACTATTCCACAACAAAAGAACTCTGGGATGCATTAACAGTGGCCTTCTCTGACTTGGAAAATTCAGCACAATTGTTCGAATTTCGAAACAAGGCAAGAAATCTTCGTCAAGGGGACCTCGATGTCAGACAATACTACAATTCTCTGTAGCCGGTATGGAGAGAAATTGACGTGTTTGTTCAAATTAATTAGGACACACCCAAAGATGCTGAAAAATACAAAAAATAGGTGGAGGAGAGGATTTATGATTTTCTGGCTGGGCTAATTCCAGAACTAGAGGAGGTGAGAGGGAGACTTTTGGGCTTGAAACCACCTCCTAGAATTGACGAAATTTTTGTCAAAGTCCATCGAGAAGCGAATGCTAGGTGATTCGAAACAGTTGGAAAATTCGGCCCTTGCTGCGCGGTGTCCAGAGCCCTCAAAACCTACCAAGAAGAACTCATCATGGTGTGAGCACTGTAGAAGGACAAACCACTCCACTGAGCGGTGCTGGGTCTTACACGGCCGACCACCGAACAAGAAGCCAGGAACCCAATTTGATGGAAGACCAAACCAATGCCACCGCGAGGAGAATCAGACGCGAAGCTCCACTGGATTCCAAGGTTCTGCAGACCCTATGCCACCTCCTACACAGACCGAGAAGATCTTAGTCTCCCTTACCAAGACCCAACTAGAGCAGTTGTATAAATTACCCTCTCTTGCATCGACTTCTAGCTTACTTGTAGAACGAGGTAATTATATGTTGGCTTTGACTGGGAGAAGTAAGGTCAAAGAGTGGATTATTGACTCAGGGGCTACAGGTCATATGACGGGTTGTGAAAAAATGTTTAATTCATTATCACCGTACACTGGAAATTTTAAAGTAAAATTAGCAGATGGGTCGTTCACTCCAGTTGCCGGAATTGGAACTATTAGACTCAGCCCACACGTGGAATTAAAATCTACTCTATATGTTCCCAATTTGTCATGCAATCTTCTTTCTGTCAACAAGTTAGCTAAGGATTTGAATTGCAGTATCAATTTTACTGAGTCTTTGTGTATTTTTCAGGACCTGAGTTCGGGGAAGGAAATTGGTAATGCTAAGGGATGTGAGGGACTATACTATTTCATGGAGGACGCTGACTTGAATAGACAAGCTCAAATTGCAAGTTGTGAATCTACCCCTAAAGGACAAGAACTAATGTTGTGGCATCATCATTTAGGTTACCCTAGTTTTTCATATCTTAAACATTTATTTCCGTCTTTGTTTCGCAATAACGATATATTTCAATGTGACATTTGTCAATTAGCTAAGCACTCTCGTTCATTTTTCCCGTCTCATGAGTATAAACCTTCTTTAATACATAGTGATTTGTGGGGCCCGTCTAGAGTTAAAAATACCACAGGCAAACGCTAGTTCATTGCCTTCACAGATGATCATACTAGAGTATGTTGGGTTTACCTGTTAAAAGATAAGTCTGAAACCGCACAAACTTTTAAAAACTTTTACTCCATGATTCAAACCCAATTTGATGTAAAGATAAAAATATTTCGAACCGATAATGGGAGGGAATATTTTAATCACATTCTGGGAACTTTTCTTGCTGAAAAAGGTATCTTGCATCAAAGCTCATGTGTTATAACTCCCCAATAAAATGGTATTGTTGAAAGAAAAAATAGACACCTACTAGAAACTGCTAGGGCTCTAATGTTTACGAGCAATGTTCCAAAATTTTTTTGGGGGGATGCAGTCCTTACTGCATGTTATCTTATAAATAGAATGCTTACCCGAATACACAACTACAAAACTCCATTAACTATTTTGTCAGGAGTATACCCTCACATTCGATCTACCCTCTCTCTACCTCTAAAGGTGTTTGGTTGTACATTTTTTACTCATATCAATGACCACGAACGTACTAAATTAGATCCCAAAGCTCGTAAATGTATGTTCCTAGGTTATTCACCAACTCAAAAAGGTTACACATGTTATTCGCCAGGCACTGGAAAATATTATATCTTTATGGATGTTACCTTCTTCGAGCCTATTCCTTACTTCACCCAAAATTCCCCTCAGGGGGAGACATACAATAATGAGACATATGAGGGGAATTTTTGGGTACTCATTGAAGAAAATTCTGCCTCTAACTCTAACTCATTCCCTCCTATATCTGAACAACAATCTCCACTCACTAATCCTCCCTCACATGATGATCCACAAAACATTGATTCATCTGCTTCACCAAATTTGATGACAGGGGGAGATAAACAACTTACAACAATACCTGAGCTACGTGTCTATTCAAGAAGGAAAAATCCTGAGATTGTGGAACACCTCACGGTTCAACAGCAGAACCATGAACCTGACTTGGATTTAGGTAACTCCACTATTTCACAAAATGACTCTAATAATGATTTGGATGTTCCTATAGCACTCAGGAAGGGAGTGAGATCTTGTACACAACATCCGATGGCAAATTTTATTGGATACAGTCATCTGTCTAGGTCAATTCGAGCCCTTGTTACAAATTTGTCAGCAATTGAGATACCAAAGACTATCCAAAAAGCTTTGTCAAGACAGGAATGGAAAACGCAGTTGAGGAAGAGATGAAGCCTTGAGAAAAAATAGAACATGGCAGATTGTTGAAAAACCTAAAGGTAAGGCAACTGTTGGCTGCAAATGGGTGTTTTCAGTTATGTATAAGTCAGACGGTTCCGTAGAGCTAGAGGATATTCTCAAACTTATGGAGTTGATTACCAGGAAACTTTTGCCCCAGTAGCAAAACTAAATACAGTAAGAGTCTTGTTGACACTAGCTGCAAACCTGGATCGGAAACTTCAACAACTAGATGTAAAGGATGCCTTTCTGAATGGTGACTTGGAGGAAGAAGTATATATGGACCTTCCTCCTGGGTTTGATGAAGAAAAAACCCAAGGACAGGTCTGTAAACTGAAAAAGTCTCTATATGGGTTAAAGCAGTCCCCACGGGCATGGTTTGGTAGATTCATGAAAGCTGTATGTCAACAAGGGTACAAGCAAGCTCAATTTGATCACACTATGTTCTATAGGAACTCGGGTGGGAAAATTACCATATTAATAGTCTATGTGGATGATATAATCCTAACGGGTGATAATTATGAAGAAATGGAAAGGCTAAAGAAAGCTCTTGCATCAGAGTTTGAGATAAAAGACTTGGGCACTTTAAGATAATTTCTTGGACTGGAGGTTGCTAGAAATCGGAGTGGGATTACTATTTCACAAAGGAAGTATGTTATGGACCTTCTGAAAGAAACCGGTATGTTAGGAAGTAAACCAGCAGATATTCCTATAAATCCAAATCACAAACTAGGAGACTGTTTAGGAAGTACTCCTGTAGATAAAGGAAGATATCAGCGCCTTGTAGGAAAACTCATCTATCTGTCACACACAAGACCGGATATTGCCGTTGCAGTAAGTGTTGTGAGTCAGTTCATGCATGCACCATTCAAGGAACGTATGGAAGCTGTCTACCAGATCCTAAGATACTTAAAAGGGACTCCAGGTTTTGGATTGTACTTCAAAAAGAATTCCAAAAGGACCATTGAAACCTTCACCGATGCAAATTGGGCAGGTTCAGTCACTGACAGAAGATCTACAACTGGTTATTGTACTTACGTATGGGGAAACCTTGTCACTTGGAGGAGTAAGAAGCAACCAGTAGTGGCTAGAAGTAGTGCTGAAACAAAATTCAGAGCCTTGGCTCATGGAATTTGTGAAATCATGTGGTTAAAGCTATTGTTAGAGGAACTTGGAATTCAGGAAAGCAAACCCATGAAAGTTTATTGTGATAACAAGGCAGCCATCGCAATGTCACATAATCCAGTCCATCATGACAGGACTAAACATGTTGAAGTGGATAGGCATTTCGAAAGAGAAGATAGAGAATGGGACAATAAGCATGATCCATGTACCATCATCTCAACAGGTTGCTGATGCATTGACTAAGGGTTTATCTAAACCAATGTGCGAGAAAATAGTAGACAAGCTGGGATTATTTAATCTGTATCATCCAGCTCGAGGGGGAGTGTTGAATACTCGGGAATAATGGAGAAGATTTCGGAGATTATCATTTACCATATATGTTGGTCTAATTATAATTAACAATATATTGTTTCCTTGTATGCACATATGTTAGGTTATATAAACGATGTACACTATGGAATGAATATATATCAGTTCTAGGGTGTGTTTATTCTTCCCCGTTGTGGCCCTCTTTCATAGCCAGCCACGGCTTTAGTTGTAAATAATTTGGTCAAAATTTAGTAACCTTTGTAAAGGAAATCATTGATTTTGTAAAAGTTTAGACATGAATTGGTTCAGGATCAACGACGGGGGTTCTCCAATAAATTACAGCATTGAGTTCTTAAATAACTGCAGCAGTGTTATTTTAGGTTTAACTTCACGATATTATATTTATACCACGTGTTTCTCCCATCTCTGATTAAGTGCTAGTGGCTTCAGGTGCAGTCTAAGAAAAGTTATAAAATTGTATTATGGCTTCTGCTCATGCTCTAGCCCTAACCCTTTGGAGAGCTACATTTGCCTTAACCATTTATTTGTTTGTTTGATTTTTATTTTATTTTTTTGGTCACAATCAGAAATAAAGAAACTGTGAACCAATCAGGATAAGCTTTGCAAAATACTGCTCAATTCATCTGAAGAATTCACATGGTACTCTTGGGAGAAAATCAATTTGCCTGTTTCATCCATTTATTCAATATGAGAAAATGCGTAAAGTTGTTGAGTAAAGGCTATGGGACCTAAAGAAATATTAAAAATATAATGCCCTTGTTTGGTTTAGCTAATATTATTATTATTTTCAGCAAAATCAATCGAGTTTCTTCTTCTTCTTCTTTTCCTTTTTTTTCCCAGCAAAATCAATTGGGGGTTAAATGAGAACTTTTGAGTTTTTCCCAATATTTCGTACAAGTCTGTTTCTTGAAATGTCTATTGTGTTCTATTTATGAGATGATGAAAAAATATGGCTTACCTGGTGCATCCTTGCAGGTTTCCCTGTATGATTGTTGAGTCATCTGATGATTTCTTGTTTACATGTCTGGTTTCAGGCTATTGCAATGCTCCAAGAAATATTTCTCAAGAAAGTTCCAGTCCTGATGCCTACTCCTACCATCTTCAATCTGGACCTAATTGAAGCCTCTTGCCACTGATACTCTGGTGTCAGAAAATGGTATGTGTCAGATTTAAGAATTATATTTGCTCCTCGATTAGTTTTACTAACCTATAATGCCCCTCTGATTTTCCCATCCAAATTTCACTATTATACATTCCAACCAAATTTTTTCTGGTTATGCAGCTTTAAAATTTGAGGATCTTGGGATTGTGCCACGTAAACTGGAGGGATATCCAGTCAAATTTCTTATACAATATTGTAAAGGTGGTCCACAGTATGGGTCTACAGTTAGCGAAAAAGTAACCTCGCAGTCATGGTCTTGATGTTCGTCAATTCTTTAGTTCTGCAAACTTCAGCTATCCTTCTCAAACCTTTGGAGTCGGTATGTGTTGCCTTCATTTCCTTCAGATGTGAAATTGCATGCTACCTCGTACTCTTTTCTGATGAAGAATGAAAAAATCAACTGACTTGTAGTCCATTTAAGCTAATAAATTCAGCTGTTTAAGCAAGGTTGGGATTGTCCATTTTCAAGAGACGAACTTAGAAGAATAAAGATACGAGGGATTCTTCTTCAGCAATTCCAATATTCACAACTTATTCTAGAAAATAGGCTGAAATTATTTTTGGATGGTTTTTGAGCCTCTATTTCAAATTAAGTGATGTTTTTCTTTAAATGATTGCTTTCTAGCATGCTCATTTGTCGGGGGGACATCAACAAGGTTGATTGAGTGATTATTAAGTCATGCCAAAGGAACATTTGCTTTCCTTGTAGCTGGGGAAAAGTAATTGCAGCTCATTCTATAAAGTAAGGAATTACCCTCCCAATAGGGGAAAAGAAAGACCAGTCATGAAAAACTTCTCCCCATTGAAATCACATGAGAAAAGCTCATAGATTTCGTTTATCAAAATCCATCGACCACCCAATGCCGCCACTAATAAGCCGTGGATCCTTCGAAAATATCAAATTAGGAGGGACGAATATTGGGGGGACTATGGTCGCTCGGCGTGGGGGCTGCTCCGGTGAATCTCCGCAAGGTTGTTGCAGCATAAACATTTATATAAACAACGATACGATGGGTATTAACAACTCGATCTTGATCGGTAGTGATGTAAAGATGGGAGATCCCGGAGTGAGTTTGTCTCTGAAAGATGTGAAAATGGATCGCGGCTTTCAACTACTAAGCAAAAAGAAGGAAAGCGATTTTGTTAGTTACCTTTGTTTGATGACGTTATTTGCCTTCATTGTGCTTACCATCTTATTTTTACTTACTTGACTGACAATTTGAGTTTTTCATCTATTTTCCTTTCTCCCTAATTATCTTCTTTTGTTTAGATTGTGAGCTTGATTTTCTGATTGAATTTGTTTCTTTCAAAAATAATTTCGTACATGTATTAACCTCGAAATGAGTTTTCTAAGAGGGACCTCCAAGTCTCAATACTATTCAATTTGTAAATTTGTTATGTTGCTAACGAGATACAATGAGAATTCAATGGCAAGATCCAAAACCTTCTAGTCGGGAAGATCCGAGTGGTATGAGTTCGACAACTACACTTATGTTTGAACCCTTATTCCATTTACTCAGTTGAGTGACGGATACGAGTCAATGCTAGAGTCAGAGTAGAAGGTCATAAGCGTCTATATCGTAACTATTTTGAGGGAATGAAAACGATGTTCAGTGACATGTCCATCAAGCAATTGATAGAACATCATCACTCGAGGTTGAAAATGCCAGATTCTTCATATACTGGGATAATATACCAGAATTTACCTCGACTCACAATTTCTCAAGTTCACACTTGTACTTCACCTAATTACACCAACACGAATTGCATCAGAAAAATTGAAACCGTTGACCCAAAAATGTAGAACTAAAAAGATGTGAAATTGCCTCATTTCTTGACGAACGATAAGCCATTCTGGTTCGCATATCGTTCCATGAATCTCATGAACCGATCCCAGTCTCGTGGAGTTCGCATCACGTATTTGGCCTCTATTCCTGCAGGTTTCCCGTTCACGAACTTTGCATTAACATCAACTGACTGAAGAACTCCTTCCTCATCAATCATATAGAATCCAGTAATGTCACCTACTTCACTTGACGAGTCAAAAACCGAGGGTTGGTCGAACCTGAATATCGCCATACCATTCGTCCCGTCCCTTGATTTCGTAAGCCTCACATCTGGGATCGTCTGTTCATCAGTTCCTTGAATGAACTGAATTGCGGGTTTTATCATCATTATGCTCAGTCTAGGCATTCTTCGAGTTCGAGTTTTTCTTGGCAAACTCGAACGCAATAAGCATAAAGATTGGCCATTGAACGATGAGCGAAAGCTAGGGTGAACTCCTCCAAATGCCAAGCCTATACAGTATGAATCACAATCTTTACTTTCGAGAGCAATAATAATTAGAAAACAAGTAAACCGTACGCATACTTCGAGGTTACGCCCACTTGTCACGGCAGGTTTTTACACTATATTAGAGAAAGAGAATACAAGCTTTTCTTCAAATCGTTCTCGCTTTAGAGAATCATTTATATGGTAAGAATCTTAACATCAACACCATTATTTGGAAAAATTGTTAGCAGCTGTAGTATGATTAAGGAAAGAATTTGTTCTTCCGACATAAGAAATTCTTCCTAATCTTTTCAAACAAGTACGTATAGTACTTTTTGTGTTTCCGAGCTAAAGTTCTAAGTTCTATACAATCCAAAACTAGCACTAATTTTTGACTTTCTAAATTTCCCATTTTTATGGTAGTGAAATATTTAATTATCATAAACTTCTCAAAAGGATTTGGGGGGATAAAAAATGGTCCCAGAACATGGTAACATCGATTACTATTTTTCAGCAAATTTCAGACAAGCATGTCTTTTTCATTCAATCACATGATATTAAAACAAGAAAATTACAAGGAGACAATGCATTTATATAACAAAGAAAAGGGATAAATGAGTAGACGGGGCAACCTGGATGAGAGTACGGTTGGGGGGAATAGTGAGAGATTGGTGAAGAGATTGCAAAAGACTGTAGCGATGCCATTGTTTTTTCTAGAGAGAGAAAAGGAAATGTTTTAGTGAGAGAAACATAAGTATTATAGGGAGATGATGATGATGTGGTATGAAGCGTGAGAGGGTGGTGTGTAATGAGGACAGCCATTCACTTACAAAACATTATTAGCCCTTTCATAGGATTGGCTTGTGACACATCTGTGAACAAGTAAATGGAAGTAAATTAGGTTTGTACTTTTAACTTTTTAATTACTTTGATTTTGGCTTCTTAATCTTTACAGAGAGATTCTAAGCTTCGATTTAAATATGTTAATTTCGATCCTCATGGGACAAAAATAATCATGTGAACGTTAAAATTAATGGTGAAATCATGTTAAGTTTAGGTCCTCGTTTTAATTTTTAATAGCTTTGCCCTCTCACTTTGGGTGTTTACGGGGTGTATTTAATTGAGATTTTTAATGATTTTTTAGGATTTAAAAAGTTTAGGGGTATCCAATTGAGATTTTTTGAAACTCTCTAAAAGTTACGGTGTATTCAATTGAGATTTTTATAAACTTTTAAAAAATCTATAAAAGTTGCGATGTATTCAATTAAATTTTTTTAGAAGTCTCTATATGTTTTGGAGTATTCAAATTTTGATGATTTCTAGAAATTTTTATAAAAGTATCTAGAATACTAACTTTTAAGCAGAAAGTACTCATATAAAATCTTAAAATTTATCTCTTGTTAATCACAAGATTTTGGGAGACTTTCACGAAAAAAATATTTTTTTCAATCTTTCTTTCCTTTAACCTTCCATGGACATGTATGATTAAAATTTATTTTCTTCAATTGATTATATTTTATTTATCTTTCTTTCTTTATTTTATTATTTATCTCTATTTTCTATATAAAAAAATTAAATTTAATTCTTGTAGCTTTCTTTTCTTTTTTCATTCATTTTTTTTGTGAAAAATATCTATTTTTCTATTAAATTATAAAATTTTATATGAAAAGATTATAATTAAATTTAAATATATTGAATTTTATTTATTTTCAAAACTATACTTTGGAGTACTAACTTCTAATCAGAAAGTACTCATATTGTGTGTAATTTTAATTATTATTTATTTAATTAAGGTCTTAATTTTTTATTTTTTCAATTTTTTTTATTATATGGAAAGAAGAAAATGAAGGAAAAGGAAAATTGTGAGAACTAACACCTATGTGAGAATTTCACATCAAATTCACGCGAATTTTATTTTAAATGAAAATTTTCAAAAGTTTTTTAACTTCCACAAAAGTCTATAAAAATTTTAAAATGAAAATCTATAGAAGTCTACAAAAGACTTCTACTAATTTTATACAAATCTATAAAAGATCTATGAAATTCACAAAAGTCATTACTTAAAAAAAGTTCATTAAAGTCTTCAAAAGTCCCAATTGAATACATAGTTTTCATGATGTGGGGACCTAGATTCAAATATTTAAATAGGTTGAGAACTTGAAACTTCACTTTTCAACGTTCGAGGGCCAAAACAATACTAATTCAAAGGTCAGGGAGGAAGGATTACTTTTTCCTGAATCAAACATAAAACTTATTGGGCTGGACACATGGCGAGTTGGTAAATGTTAGGCCTAATTATTAGTGGGTTATAGTTTTTCGGCCGACAGAGGAATTTCGGCCATTGGATAATCACTTGAGAAAATTACATGTTAAACAGGCGGTTCGATTATTAACTGGGGTCCAATTGAGTGGGCCGATTTATTTGTAGACATGGGCTCAAGTTTTACTAATGGGCCCAAAAGGAAAATGTAGCCCCATTTTTCCAGATGGAATCCCCAGCCTTTGCTCACTGTAACGATGGGATCCTCAACCTTCTACTATGGCAATTAAGGTCCCAAGTATGTAAAAACTGTACGCTCTTCATCCTAACTAACGAAAATCGTCAATTCTTTGAGAGCCAAGCACTACTAATTTAATGTTTACTCAGTTCATTTATACATATTTATATTTATAATTTAATCTGTTTATAAATTATTGTCGATATGCCATCTCAAACCTTTTGTCAACATAAGCTCTCTATTCATAATTGGTGTTTGGTAACTTACTAGAGATTCAATTTTTAAACTAATCCATTTATTTAACTAAACCACCTTTTTGCAATCCTCAAAAGTCCAAAATTAATCAAAATCAAAATTTTGCTACATCCACTTTTGTGGGCCCACAAGAAAAACCTGGTCCCACAACATGTGCCACATGTCCAACTCCAATCAACATGTGCCACATGTCCAACTCCAATCAACATGTGCCACATGTCCAACTCCAATCAACATGTGCCACATGTCCAACTCCAATCAACATGTGCCACATGTCCAACTCCAATCAACATGTGCCACATGTCCAACTCCAATCAACATGTGCCACATGTCCAACTCCAATCAACATGTGCCACATGTCCAACTCCAATCAACATGTGCCACATGTCCAACTCCAATCATCACCACGATGATTCTCCCTTCATCAATATTCTTTTATATTTACTCATGCAATGCCTTAGCTTGCCCTTATATGTGCCATGTGAAGCCCCGTAATTCTCCACGCCAACCCCACCCAATGAAGCTCCTACAAATCTTAGCATACATTTAACAAATCCTCTCTATAAATTAACACTCACTCACTCTCTCTCTCTCTCTCTCTCTCTCTCTCTCTCTCTCTCTCTCTCTCTCTCTCTCTTGTGTATTTTTCAGGACCTGAGTTCGGGGAAGGAAATTGGTAATGCTAAGGGATGTGAGGGACTATACTATTTCATGGAGGACGCTGACTTGAATAGACAAGCTCAAATTGCAAGTTGTGAATCTACCCCTAAAGGACAAGAACTAATGTTGTGGCATCATCATTTAGGTTACCCTAGTTTTTCATATCTTAAACATTTATTTCCGTCTTTGTTTCGCAATAACGATATATTTCAATGTGACATTTGTCAATTAGCTAAGCACTCTCGTTCATTTTTCCCGTCTCATGAGTATAAACCTTCTTTAATACATAGTGATTTGTGGGGCCCGTCTAGAGTTAAAAATACCACAGGCAAACGCTAGTTCATTGCCTTCACAGATGATCATACTAGAGTATGTTGGGTTTACCTGTTAAAAGATAAGTCTGAAACCGCACAAACTTTTAAAAACTTTTACTCCATGATTCAAACCCAATTTGATGTAAAGATAAAAATATTTCGAACCGATAATGGGAGGGAATATTTTAATCACATTCTGGGAACTTTTCTTGCTGAAAAAGGTATCTTGCATCAAAGCTCATGTGTTATAACTCCCCAATAAAATGGTATTGTTGAAAGAAAAAATAGACACCTACTAGAAACTGCTAGGGCTCTAATGTTTACGAGCAATGTTCCAAAATTTTTTTGGGGGGATGCAGTCCTTACTGCATGTTATCTTATAAATAGAATGCTTACCCGAATACACAACTACAAAACTCCATTAACTATTTTGTCAGGAGTATACCCTCACATTCGATCTACCCTCTCTCTACCTCTAAAGGTGTTTGGTTGTACATTTTTTACTCATATCAATGACCACGAACGTACTAAATTAGATCCCAAAGCTCGTAAATGTATGTTCCTAGGTTATTCACCAACTCAAAAAGGTTACACATGTTATTCGCCAGGCACTGGAAAATATTATATCTTTATGGATGTTACCTTCTTCGAGCCTATTCCTTACTTCACCCAAAATTCCCCTCAGGGGGAGACATACAATAATGAGACATATGAGGGGAATTTTTGGGTACTCATTGAAGAAAATTCTGCCTCTAACTCTAACTCATTCCCTCCTATATCTGAACAACAATCTCCACTCACTAATCCTCCCTCACATGATGATCCACAAAACATTGATTCATCTGCTTTACCAAATTTGATGACAGGGGGAGATAAACAACTTACAACAATACCTGAGCTACGTGTCTATTCAAGAAGGAAAAATCCTGAGATTGTGGAACACCTCACGGTTCAACAGCAGAACCATGAACCTGACTTGGATTTAGGTAACTCCACTATTTCACAAAATGACTCTAATAATGATTTGGATGTTCCTATAGCACTCAGGAAGGGAGTGAGATCTTGTACACAACATCCGATGGCAAATTTTATTGGATACAGTCATCTGTCTAGGTCAATTCGAGCCCTTGTTACAAATTTTTCAGCAATTGAGATACCAAAGACTATCCAAAAAGCTTTGTCAAGACAGGAATGGAAAACGCAGTTGAGGAAGAGATGAAGCCTTGAGAAAAAATAGAACATGGCAGATTGTTGAAAAACCTAAAGGTAAGGCAACTGTTGGCTGCAAATGGGTGTTTTCAGTTATGTATAAGTCAGACGGTTCCGTAGAGCTAGAGGATATTCTCAAACTTATGGAGTTGATTACCAGGAAACTTTTGCCCCAGTAGCAAAACTAAATACAGTAAGAGTCTTGTTGACACTAGCTGCAAACCTGGATCGGAAACTTCAACAACTAGATGTAAAGGATGCCTTTCTGAATGGTGACTTGGAGGAAGAAGTATATATGGACCTTCCTCCTGGGTTTGATGAAGAAAAAACCCAAGGACAGGTCTGTAAACTGAAAAAGTCTCTATATGGGTTAAAGCAGTCCCCACGGGCATGGTTTGGTAGATTCATGAAAGCTGTATGTCAACAAGGGTACAAGCAAGCTCAATTTGATCACACTATGTTCTATAGGAACTCGGGTGGGAAAATTACCATATTAATAGTCTATGTGGATGATATAATCCTAACGGGTGATAATTATGAAGAAATGGAAAGGCTAAAGAAAGCTCTTGCATCAGAGTTTGAGATAAAAGACTTGGGCACTTTAAGATAATTTCTTGGACTGGAGGTTGCTAGAAATCGGAGTGGGATTACTATTTCACAAAGGAAGTATGTTATGGACCTTCTGAAAGAAACCGGTATGTTAGGAAGTAAACCAGCAGATATTCCTATAAATCCAAATCACAAACTAGGAGACTGTTTAGGAAGTACTCCTGTAGATAAAGGAAGATATCAGCGCCTTGTAGGAAAACTCATCTATCTGTCACACACAAGACCGGATATTGCCGTTGCAGTAAGTGTTGTGAGTCAGTTC